CCCCCCACAAGCAGTTTTATAATTTTGTTTCTTTCCTTTTCCAGGACATGAGCTGGCGAAGTGTGCGGCAGATTTCCCCCTGTGGTGGTTCCCCTCTCACTCCCCTTAATTTGGCGTGGCACGTGGTGGTTTGGTTTGTAGTGGGGGTTTTTTGGTTTGAGTTGTGTCCCTCCCTTTGGTTTTGATTTAGTCTATCAGCTAAATTAAGCCTTAGCCCTGTTCCTAGTTTATTTGTTTATTTCATACAGCAAAGTACATTTATTATTTTGGCACTCAGGCTGTGTATTTTTGGTATCTTTGTGTTCTTTTAAACATAGTAAACCTCTTTTAATCAATAAATCTTTGTTATATTTGGAAGTCCGTCTCTCGTCCTCTCAGTGTAACAAATCTGTGTGACCTTATTAGTAAGGGTATTGGTCAGAGGTATTTCCTGGGTTGCAATTCCCCTGGTGGCATTGTCATGCAACTTCCTCCCTCTCCATTAGGCCACACATAGAAGGAACAAAAAGCCAGAGTGTTCAGTGATCCCTCCCAGACCATGGACATGAACATTAGAACTCCCCACACGGGCGCCGGACCCCCCTCATCCCACCCGTCCTCCCAGCCCGCCTGTGGCGAACCCACCCCAATAAAATAAAAGATAAAAAAAAATAATAATAATAATGATAAAAATAAAGAACACAATCAATCCAGTTAACAATACAGATCTAAACAATTCTGTTCTTTCAGCTTTTCAATGGCTCAATGTCCACATACCTGAACCAGTGGCTAGGAGCACTTCCTGTAAAGGTGGTCAGCGCTCTCTTCTCCCAATCTTCCATGTAAAGACTGGCCACTATATGACCACCTTTACAGGAACTGCTCCTAGCCACTGGTTCAGGTATGTGGACGACACCTGGATCAAAATCAAAACTAAGGAAGTGGAAACCTTTACGGAACACATTAACGCAGTGGACCCCAACATTAAATTCACGCGGGAGGATGTCAGAGGAGACGGTCTACCCTTCTTAGACTGTGCAGTACACATTGAACAGGACAGGAACCTAAACATAGAGGTGTATAGAAAACCTACACACGGACCCATCTTCCCATCTCCCACCCAGGACATGGTGGTTTCATACGACCTGTCTTCACCTTGCAAACTCACCCACTTCGAGACAATTTCCGATGAAACTCTTTCTAAACTGGTTTTCTCCTCCAATTCCACTACCTCCCTACTGGATCCTATTCCCTCTAAGTACATTAAGGACCTCTTCCCAATTGTTAGCCCACTACTACTACATATAATTAATAGCTCTTACCAGTGGAACAGTACCTGCATCTTTTAAAACAGGCGTAATCAAGCCACTACTCAAGAAACATAACCTGGACCCTGATGTCATCAATAATTAAAGACCAATTAGAAATCTCCCCTTTCTTTCAAAAATCCTAGAAAAAGCAGTAGCCCAACAACTCACTGATCACCTCTCCTTCAATAATCTATACGACCCTCATCAATCCGGTTTCAGAAAATTCCATAGTATGGAAACCGCACTGACAAAAGTGGTCAATGATTTACTACTCGCCTCCGATTCCGACTCAGCTTCAGTATTGCTGCTTCTAGACCTCAGCGCAGCATTTGATACCCTTGATCACCATATTCTACTTCACTGTCTAGAAAACTACATAGGACTCACCGACTCTGCTCTCGCCTGGTTCAAATCCTACCTTACCGACAGATCTCACTTTGTTTTTCATAAGTGCTCTTCAGAACGCAAAAAGGTCAATTATGGTGTACCACAAGGGTCTGTGCTTGGTCCCATTCTCTTTACCACTTACATGCTACCCCTCGGTTCATTAATCAATAAATACAAACTAGGTTCCCACTTTTACGCAGATGATACTCAGCTCTACATATCCATCAAGCCTGACACCTCGCATCAACTGATCCATCTAGAACAGTGCACACAAGATGTCATCAAACTTCCTTCTCTTAAATACTGAAAAAAACTGAAATGTTAATCCTAGGTCCATAGCACATCAGAAACAAATTCTGCAATCTCACCTTAAACTTAGCTGGTTCTATCATTTCACAAAGCCCCCGTGTTAGAAATCTCGGTATTTTATTCGATCCTAATCTCTCCTTTGAAGACCATATTAATAATATAACAAAAACAGCATATTTTCACCTACGTAATATTGTCAAGATTCGTCCCATTCTCTCCATGACTGATGCAGAAACACTGGTTCATGCTTTTGTCTCATCCCGATTAGATTATTGCAGTACACTTTTCTCTGGTTTACCAAATTAAACCATTAGGAAACTACAACTCGTTCAGAATACTGCTGCCAGGATATTAACCAGAACCAGAAAATTTGACCATATCACCCCAGTTCTCATTTCATTACACTGGCTCCCTGTACACACTAGATCGGACTTCAAGATTCTGCTTTTAACTTATAAAATATTACATGGACTTGCACCATCCTACTTTTCATCTCTACTTACTCCACGTTTATCAATCAGGCCTCCACAATCCCATGATGTCGGTCTCCTATCCATCCCCAAAATTAATAAATCATCAACAGGTGGTAGAGCCTTCTCATACCGAGCCCCTCTCCTCTGGAACTGCCTTCCCATTCAAATCTGTGAAGCCAACACAGTCGATTCCTTCAAAAGTAAACTCAAAACACACCTTTTTGCATCTGCCTTTAACATCACATAGTCTCTGTCCTTACATACTACATCATGGTTATCTACTACTACTCAGTCATTGTGCGCATCAATTTATGTTTAGTTTTTTATATATACAAGTGCCAATGTTATTTTTGTTTTGTTTTTGCTTTGTTTTGTTTTGTTTGTTTAATTTGTTCTACATAGTCATTTCACTTGTTTTTATATATTTTATTTGTGTTTTGCTTATGTCTTTTTATGTACAGCCCATTGAGGCATTTTTTTGTGCTATAATAAATTTTGACTTGACTTGACTGACCAATACCTGCTGTTTGACTCTCACCACCCACTGGAGTACAAGTTGGGAGTTATCAGGACACTGAATCATCGGGCTGAAAATGTGCCCACTAGGACAGAGGGGAAAGTGAAGGAACAGAAATACACCAGGGAAGCACTTCAAACCTGTGGCTATCAACTGGGCCTTTGCAAAACCCTCTAAAAGACCCAGAGCAGACAGAGAGGAAGAGACACAAAAATGTAACAACATTGTCATTCCTTATGTTGCAGGAGTGTCTGAGAAACTCAGGAGGATTCCCCCACCTACAATGCAGTCTTGGGATCCCTCCCCAGACGACTTCACACCCATTCACCCCTGGTGTGGGTCAATGACTCACATTGTGACCTTAACGACTCTGAAACTAAGAGCTCATGTGACCCCTACAACTCTGCAAGGGTTACTACCCACACAGGGTTTATAGCATGCAACTTTGAACCAGTCATTTAGAACTGAAGAAGCTTCTTGGATGCGAGGCGAAACGTCTTCAAGAAATGCAAGCAAGTGCAGTTGCCTGCGATATTAGCACTTACGATTAATACAAAAGCTATGTATGATTAGTGAGATACATGAAATGATATGACAATTTTTTTTAAAAGAGCATCTCCACAAGACCACGTGTGATTGGATCTCATATCTCATCTCTGTATGCAAATAAACATTTTGTTCATTTTCAGATAATTTTCGTTTGCAAAGACCAATCAGGAGTGTTTTTAACCAGTGGGACGCTTGTTGTGCTGTATGAAGTCCCTCTGCCAGTTGTTGAGAGTCACCCCTCACACAAACAGGGTTACACAGCTAATGTTACCTTACGGTTATTATTGGGTTTAATGACATAGTTGAGCTGTCTTGGTGTTGGTGTTAGTTTGTCGGACAGTTTAAGAGCTGCTGCTGTGTTAGTTTGTGCCTTACCGGGTAGACACTGAACTAACTGACTGTCGGGAGGAGAGTGTCTCAAGAGACACACCTTCAGTGCTGCTTCTAACCTGTGTAACAGCATTGCAGACCACCTCCAAATGTGGTCTGAGCGATCAGATCTCAACACACATATAGGACACATTGGGTTCACACCTTTACTTAGAGCCACCCACTTGTGATCCAATCACCCAAGGGGCATGTTACCAGGTTATGAGGTGTAAACAGGGCCTTAGTGAGGTAGTGGGGGCACCAGGAGTAAATGGAACAAAGTAAACACAGCTCAAGATGTTTTTATGTAGGTTGTTTTTAAATAAATTCCAATGATATGAGATTTATTTATTTGCTTGCGTTTTACGTTTTTCTTTTCTTTTTTTAAATCTTTTCTTCTTTTTTTTAGGGAAGGTCCCTAGTCATGATAAGTGAAGTTGTGAATGACATGAGTGAGTGTCTGAGTGTTGATTTTAGTTGATAAACTAGAATTTGAAGCTTGCTCACCGTGGAGCCACACCCTTACATTGGTATTTTGTTCCAGACAGAAAAATGGCCATTGCAGACAACTGTGTACACTTAGGATTAACTCAACGTTAGAAACTGATTTAAAAAAAAAAAAAAAAAGCAGGAGAATACAGGCAGGAGTGTTTTCTATTTCTTCTTCTATGATTGTGGATCATCATGGTTTGTGGTTAACAGGAGCCATAGTCATAGAAGTCGATTGTTCATGTGCTGTAATAGCTTCTATGTAGTGTACAACATTCCAGTGTTTTATTTATGGTTGTAGTCTGACGAAATGTGTGAGACACCAGAATGTAATTATTTCATTGAGTAATTAAGTAGCAAGAGTTAAGGGGGACTAAATAAATACTGTGACCCAGGCGGAATGGATGATGTTCCTAAAATGGACATGGACCATTGTTAAGACTGCAGCCAAGGTTAAGCGGCTGACATCATAGCCAAAATAGGGCTCTGAATCCCCCTGACAGCTGTGAGTAGTCCATGCGGAGCATGATGAGAATGGAATGCAAGGGAGGAGGAGGAGGCAGGGCATCAGCCAGGCCTGGTTTACACTGGCAGCATCACAGCTTTTATCAGAGCCTCAGTTCAGGGCTCACATTGTACACCAGTATGAGAAGGTAAAAAGTCTGTGATATTTAGAGGTTTACTATGTGTGACAGTTCCTCTATCTAATCAGTAAGAAATAATACACGAAATCAAACAAGATGCAGAACCAATCACTGTACCTCTTAAAGACCCAAATTCATTCTAACGGTATATACAGTTTCTGTTCTCTGGAAAAAAACAGTCAAGCGAAATAATGTCAATAATTATGAATTAATCACAGCAATTGTGTATTGCACTTTTGGAGATGTATTACTCACATCAGCAGCTTTCTTATCGGCCACCTCAAGCTTCTCCTGAGCGTCCTTAAGAGCCTCAGAGTATTTATCAAGCTCATCCTCCGTCCCCTTCAGCTTCTTTTGCATTTGCAGAAGTTCGTCTTCATGCTGATGGTGTAAGAGATCAAACACATAGTTAGCAGGTTTACAATAACACCATCAAAATGTATTGATGAGAGTCTTTTTGACATGCTTTATTCATTGATATAATACCCGGGATTACAGGAAGTTCATGTCATTCCAGTATGGTCACATTTTTTCAAGTCAGTCTGAAAACAATTTTCACATACCAATATGTACGCTGAAGCACTTTTCTTTTTTGATATAATCATTCTTCCTGTTCATACTGGCTATTAATAGATCCCTTCCTGACATGCTTTCAGTGCTTATGTTCTGTGCCTAAAGTGAATTAAGCACTAAAACCCAATTGATTTGACTAACTCCAACTTATGCTTCAATGTTATCTTCAGAAAAAACTTTTGAATGTAGGTCTGTGCATTAAAGTGAGACATTTTAATTGTTAATGTGAACAAGAGTAAGGATTACAGCTAGCAAAACCTGTTTCAGTAACAGACTTAGAAAAGTGTGAGCCTGTAATTTCATATTAACTAGCTTTTGATCTACCTTGCACTCACATCCCAAAGAATATTTTGATAAAAAATATTTTTGCTCACATAGTGCCAAGGTATGTTTCAAATTAGTTCTTACCAAGTCTTGTTAGAGCATGCTGAATTGTATGTTTTAGAAAGTGATAATAACTGTTGAATGCAGCCATCCCTAACTCCGAAATCAGAAAGGTGTTGCGGGTTTCACATGCTGTTTGACAATCTGACAAGCACCTCATGTAATGCATACTGATGTCTTCAGACTGCAGAGAAATTTTACCCAAGATTGCTAAAATTACTTAGTAACAACCTTTAAAGCCACAGTGTGTAGGACTTTGTCCCATCTAACATTGAAATCATATATTGCATTCAAACAGATAGGGCACTCTAGCGCCTCACTGTTTCAAACGCGTATTGAAATGGTAGCCGCTGTGTACCAAAAAGCTATGATAACATTGATGAAACCATATCATCCGATACTTCTTGGAGTATTCATCCAGGCTCCTACACAGACACAAGCGACGCGAGTTGACAAACCCCCTCTTCATCATGCTGGCTGTATAAATTGCCAGGTGTAAATCGAAACAAACCAATCACTTCTTGTCTTTTGACAACTGACAAGTGGCTTAACCTCACACACCTCATCCCTCTCCTCGCATCACTGCACCACTGACAGCGGCACTGGCATTACCTTTCTCCTTCAGCAGCTCTTTCCACTTGGGAAAGGCTACCCCGTTTTTTGAATTCACCGGTCACCTTGCCTTTTTGATTCCCTTTTGCGCTTTCTTGGTGATGAGGATTCCGCCTCCCGTGATGCTGCATATGCATGATCCTGCATTATTCTCAAAGAGTGGGACTTTGTTATGCTGCAGTAGTGCCAGGGTAGTAATGAAGCACCTCTTGCTCCTCTCCTTCGGCTTCTCAGTTACGCAGCGCTGGCTTGGCTCTCAACGAAAACACCAAAGGCGGGGCTTGTCCCTGGTAGTGCTATATGTCGCTTGCTGGTGGATGTATTTTCAAGATGGCGAAACGTTACAGAACCCCCAAAACGACTTACCCGTCCAATGTACAAACAAATCTGAAATTCACCTTTAACGAGAATAAGTCAGATTATTGGTAGAGGTAATAATACACCAATGATGACATATTTATGAATGCAGACATCAATTTTTGCCAGTAAACAACTGAAAATGCTACACAATGTCCCCTTAATGGTGCTCTGATTATATAAAAATCTAACACTTTAGCATTAATGGGTCATAGTTTTATAACATGGAACCTACAACCAGTACACTAAGGATGCTTTCAGACCTAGAGTTTGCTTGCTTTGGTCCGAATCAGGGACTAAGTTTGTCGTAAAGTTGCATAATTGCCTGGAATTGGTTTGTGTTCTCACGGCAGCATTTACAAGCGGACCAAATAAAATGGCTTGCGTGAGAAAGCTGCTCTCTATTGACACTCTCTATTGTCAAAATGGAGGGACAACTACGTGGGCTGATTTTAGCGCTAGTCATTGAGTACTATAATGCTTGCATTGTTCATTTTATGCAAACTATACAGTTTGAAAATGAGGCGCTATGGGTCCTGGAATGATTTAACTGTAGTTTTAAGTACAGTTGCTTCTGTTGTTTTAAAAACAAATTCCACCATAGACTCAGTCATGATGTCATCAGCGACATCAATCTGAATCACATAGTGCAGACTGTAGGGCGGCATCTGATCGGCTTTATCACATGAGTTACTGGGGGCATGCATCATAGTTTGTTCACATATTTTAACCTCAGCAGAATGACCACATGGTCACTCCTCCTGAACGCAGACAGGGACTCCACTCTGTAGCTGCTTCTGAACAGGCTTTAGCAGTGATCCAGAGTGTACATTCTCCTTGTGATGCAGGGCAAGCAGGAATGGGACAACATTTCAATATTCCTACTGTTACACCAATCCCGAATAACCATAAAGCACATACAAACCCTTTGTTTGAGTCGTCTGCTCTGCTCTGCTCGATATGTAAAACAAAAAGTGACCTAGTTGAATGGCACTGTCCGGTATAACAGGATTTCAATCAGGAGAGACTTTTTTTTTGTGTGAAAAGAATATTTATTTACTTACACATAAGTGTGTAAATTGTGAAAAAAGTCTTTGTGGATTAGACCCCATCAAGATAGTATATATTTAAGGAGGGTGATGACTCCATAGTAGAATAGGGAACCCCCCCAGGGTCTATACACTGGTGGTGGAAGAGGTGGTGAAGATGAGATGAGATGAAGATGTTGAGAAGATGGAGAAGTGCTGATGATCTGGATAAAAAGGGTAATGGGCTTCTGGTGAGCTTGTCTTGGGATCTGGATATGATGGCTGGAGGTGAACAGGGTGGAGGAAGGCGCAACAGTTTTGCCTAAAATGACAGCTGACAGCAGAGGAGAGAGCAGATTTAAAATTTGGCAGTAGCATCCTGATTGGCTGATAGAGTTCATAGTGAAGTTTGATTGGATAACTACAAGAGTGAATACCCATAGTATAGCAGTGGGAGTTGGATGGAGAGAATTGTGAATGGATGAAGCACAAAGAAGGTCTTCCTGATTGAACTTGTGCTGAGCTTCACTTAGCCAAGTTTCAGTGAGGTAAGAACATCTCACTTTCTGATATCCCATTGGAAACTAATGGGGGCATGAGGGTCGTCCAGATTAATACCCAATGCCTGTACAATGGCTAGCAGGATGCTAGTTGGCAGAGAAGATCCATTTGGCCGGGATTGCACCAATGTACAGATGAATGCAGAAATAAACTTGCTTGTCCATGTGGCTGGGATCGTAGCAGGTACACCTTTTCCATGATGTTTACATTTGAAATACTCGACTGGCCAGGTAGCAGAGTCAGCAGAAATTTAGCAGAGCTGATAGGGAGGTGACTACAAACGTCTGCACCTTGTAGAACATATGTATATGACATAATAGTGAACAGTCAAAACGATGGCCTGTGAAAACTGACAGTGTGGCTATTAATCACACTGCCATCAATTCAGTATCAGGAGTTTAATACATTCTTTCACAGATACAAGTCCAGGGTTACACCAATGCAGCAGTGCGGTTGGTTTTCAACGTACCCATTACAGGACCACTATACATCCCCACCCATTCACTTTGCTCTGCTACTGCCATCTGGCTTGCTGCTCCCTCACTATGAAGGGGCTCGGCTACCGCTTAACAAAATTACAACTGTTTGCTGGTGGCTCCACAATGGTGGAACAAACTCCCCATTGACATCAGGACAGCAGTAACTGCACATCTCTCATCACAGAACTCATCTGTTCAGACCACACCTTGGCCCATAAAATAATGATAAATAAATAAATAAATAAATGGATAAATAAATAATAAACCCTTTCTTTTTTGTTTCTAAATGTAGCACTTGAGGCAGTCCTGCAGTTCTTGCAATACTGTGGTTGTAGCCACACAGTTGATTGCACTTATTGTAAGTCGCTTTGGATAAAGGCTTAACAAAGACAGCAAGACCTCATCTTCTCTTCTCACTGCTCTGTTTTTTTCTCTGTCCACCAATATTAGCATGAAGCTGGTATTGGTGAACTTGATAGGGAGTTGCTGTGAAGCATGCTGATTTTCTGTGGAGCACTGCCCACTTTCTTTTGGTGCCTGTGTTAACTAACTGGGTAGTTCACACTGGACACACCAGCTTGCAATCAATTGTCATAGTTGGTGATAGCCTGGTTCCAGACCAAAGACCCCGCCCACTCAACTGAGTAGGCTTGCATCTCTGGTCTGGCATACTGCAATGAATTTGCGATTTATCTCGTCCAAATGATGGACGGACCAATGAATGCTGGGGGTGGGGGCGGGTCTAACGATTAGCCAATCAGCGCCACGCTGATGTCAAGCTGTACGCCGGTGAGTAACTGGTGAGGATAGCAACAATGGCGACCGCTACAGATCCTACAGACCACATTAACGATGCTATCGAGGTATTTTGCCACTACTTGTGTTAATGGAGGATCAAATTAAGGAAGCTGCTAAACTGGATTTAACGGCGACGCAGCTGGGCATGCACGACGATGGAGACATTTTAAACGGGCAATGCTCACTTGTTTTCGGCACCCCTGAGGCATGGATACTAATGACATCAGATTCTAGGTGAGTTGTTGATCTCTACTGATTGGTTAGGGAAAAATCAAATTCCCTCCCCCTTGTAAATCGCCTTCAATGGAGGCGATGTCAGACTGAAGGTTCTGGGAGCTTCAGTCTGACACTCAGGCTAAGTTGGTGAGGCTATTTTTCTGCGAGCTGTGAGCAAATCTGGTTAAAAAAAAACAGACTGAACCTATTCTGAACTATAAAAAGGATATATTACATTTGGATCTGATTCTTATAGATGATGAAATATGCTTCCCATGCTTACTTATTCCACATATTTGTCAACTGTGTAAACAGAGAGCAAGGCTAACAGAAACACACACACACACACACACACACACACACACACACACGCACGCACACATGAGCAGAGAAGACTTGCTGACCAGTACAGAGAAATGGGCTACTGGTATGAATGACCAGGCAATTGCTCATGGCACAGTTGTCATATCACAGCACCTCCTCATTCAGTGTTAACATGGCTGTTGACTATATTGCGCTTACTTCATCAACCCTGTTGTTGAGTGACCTCATGTGCCCTATGAAAATCCATGGAAGAAAGGTTTATATTTCTTTTGCCTCTTGATCCTCTTTTTGACCTTCACACTGGCTGTTCTGTCACTGCAACAATATCTCCATATCATCTCTGTTATATGCAGTGTTGGGAAGGTTACTTTTGAAATGTAATAGGTTACAGATTACTAGTTAACCTGTTACAAATGTAATAAGTAATGTACTATTTTAATTTCTTTAAAGCAATGTAACTAATTACATTTGATTACTTTCCTGACAAATGTTTTAAACTGGTCAATAAAGCTGAAAAGTCCTAAAAACACTGGTGCTGCTCTCAAATTTGTCTCAAAGGCTTTGCTGTTTGCATTTTCGGAAAATATGTCAAAAGAAGCCATTCCTGGACAGTGAAGATGCAAAGCAACAGAATGATGTTTTATTTTACAGAGCAAAAAAACCCCAAACATATGTAACCCCTTTGTAAACACCAAAATTTTGTTAAGAAACTGTAATTTTATTTCATATTTTTTCTCAGCAACTGTAAAAAATTACAGATACATTTATTTTGTAATATAATTACATCACTCTGTTACATATGATGAGTTACTCTCCAACACGGTATATGAAACTCCAGCTCCATGCCAGTAATCCAGTAGCTTAATTTAGCCAGGAGCTCCATTTTCTCCAGCTAACTTTTACATCAGAAAAACTTCCTGAAAATGCAAATGGCCTCAACTACTACTTCAAAACCAAAAAACTACAGTAGTGAAAATAATCTTGCATAAAATGCTCTTGGTTAACAAAAGTGTGAGGTAGACAAATGTCTGAAAACAATGTGGCAGAGCTGCTGCTCCTCCTCCAGTTGGCAGTCTTCCAGTTTCCTTTTTAGATGGTACAATGCTGTCATCACAGTAACAGATGGAGTCTATAAAGGAATCTATAATGCAGTGAAAGAGACCCTCAGTATCTTCCTTGTAGTCCTCCTTGAACATTTCCCAGGAAGACTGCCAATTAGAGGACATCTCATTCATCATTCTTCTAACATGTCTTTTGGAAATTAAACAGTTACCAGTGAGGTTTTTAAATGTGGAAATATGCTGGACCCCGTTCTTCGTAAATGGATAAGTGAGTTAACCTTATTAGAATGCCGATGATTTGACACAAGTCTGGATTTTGGGTTCTTCAAACTTAAATGAAAACAAATTCAAAAACTGAATTAATCTGGAACTGTTGACAGACAGCTGTCCACTAAGAATGAAGTAATGAGTTGTTTTTAGCTTTGTGCAGCTCAGAGGCTGATTCAGAGTTAATCAGGAACAACTCAACAAAAGTGGTCAGCATGTCTATTTACAGATATTTCTTACCTATGTATTTTTTAATCATGCACTTAAATTCTAAATGGACCTGCATTGTATAGCACCTTTCTAGTCTTCTGATCACTCAAAACTCTTTAACTCTACATGTCACATTTACCCATTGGTGGCCAAGGCTACCATACAACGTGCCACCAGCTCCTCAGCTTTAACACTCTCACACACCGATGGAACAGCCATCAGGAGCAATTTGGGTTTCAGTGTCCTGCCCAAGGATACTTCAACATGCAGCCTGGAGGAGCCATGGATGGAACCACCCAGCTTCCGATAAGTGGACGACCCACTCTACCTCCTGAGCCACAGCCACCCACAGCCAGTAAAGTAGCTGATAGTCATTTTACTCCAAATATGGACAGAGAACCCCCAGTATCACGTTTCAAATCTGCTATTACACATTGTGGAACAGATGCTAGCACAGGGGTGGGACCCTGCTTTCTATCCATTTTGCTAGTAGGTGCAACATCCAAAGTTAAAGTTAAAGTGGAACCGCTTCCCCAATTCTTGTAATGGTCAGCTAATGCATTCACAAAATGTGCAGTCACTTTTCACTTTTCAATGTTTTGATTTTAAAATATGAAATAATTTTGCATTAGATGCTGCTGAGTTCCAGCCTAAACAGACAAACAAACTACTCAACCGAACCCAACAAAATATCAGGTTTAGGGTCATTTTGTTTTGTAAAGCTTTAAACTTGAGTGTTTCAGGTTTACTTTTTAAAGGGGATTCATGAATTTCAAATGCAATTATTAATTCACTTGCTGACTGTGAGCATGTCATGTGCCACAAGTAGAAAAAAAATGACGACAGGAAAGATTGAAAGCAGTAAAACAAAGCAATAATAGCAATAGCTCCAGGTTTCCAGGATTCAGTTGGGTTGAATTTTAAAGATAGGCCAGGCTTGGGTCTTAGCTTTAGGCCTTTGCAGAACTCTTTGTAAGACTGATAAAACTGACTACAGAAGACAAGAAATTGACATCATTAAGCTTTTGTAAGAGATAAGATGAGATATACCTTTATAAATCCCACAATTGAGAAATTCCAGTGTTGCAGCAGTCAAGAAGAGAAAGAGTCAGATTTAGAATTTAAATAAACTAGGCATATAAAAGATATAAAAAATACAAGAGACAGCAATAAATAATTAAAAGCATAAGCAGTAACTGCTCACCTATAGTAGTTTTATGAAACGGTTGATGAAAAAGACAGTCTCACTGAATTTAAGGAGTGACAGGTAACCTTATGGAAGGAACATGGCTAGAAATTCTTCTCTGCATCAGAGAATCATATACTAAGTCAGTTTATCCCAAACCTGTTTGATAAGACTATTTTAAAGAGTCTGTTTGATGAAACATGCTTTTATGGGTTTGCGTTACATGATTTGCATCTGTGTTCATAACCCACCTGCTTGCTTCTGTCTTCGGCTGCTTTCTTGTCTGCTTCAGCTTGTTCAGCCTGGTCCAATGCATTCTCTTTGTCCAATTTCAGCATAAGCATCTTCTTTTTGATGGCCTCCATTTTTGCTGAGGTTTAATGGGCTTTTGCAACCGCACACAATGAGTAGAGACAAGAAGACAAATGGGTGCAGGATGGATGAGCTGAGAGACACTAAACCCAGGCAAAGATAGCAGGGAGATCATTTATATGGCAGAGGAGAAGACACTCCCACTTTTAAGCTCCTTAACTCACCCACACAACCGCACCCTCCACTATCCTCTGCAGTACCAACTCTAATAAAAAGTCAAGCTGCATTCTAACAACTTGTGATTACATGTATGTTTTGTGCTTGGAGACACAAATACCTCAGAATTCCAGCTTTTGAGCTACTGTAATTTTGACCTATTCCTTGTGATATGGGTTCAAAACTGAAGAAAACATCAGAGAGAATAGAAAGATAACTTCCATTTCTCTCCTTCTCTCTCTCTCTCTCTCTCTCTCTCTCTCTCTCTCTCGTATTCTATTACTGCATCTTGCTAACTCGGCCATTCTGGATGTCACTAACTCGGCTTCTTCTCCGGAGCCTTTGTGCTCCATTGTCTCTCAGATTAACTCATATCGCAGCGGTGCCTGGACAGCGTGACGTGTGTGGTTGTGCTGCTGCCGTGGTCCTGCCAGATGCCTCCTGCTGCTGCTGCCATCATTAGTCATTAGTCATACTTCTACGGTTATTATACACATATGATTATTGTCACACATGTATACTGCCAGATATTAATATATACTTTCAACATATTGTACCACAGTAGCCAGAACTATAACTATAATATTATTACTTTCAATAATGTTGTTGTAAGCTACTGTCATTACCATTTGTCCTGCATCTCTCTCTCTCTCTCTCTCTCTCTCTCTCTCTCTCTCTCTCTCTCTTTCTGTCTCATCGTGTCATATGGATTACTGTTAATTTATTATGCTGATCTGTTCTGTACGACATCTATTGCACGTCTGTCCTTCCTGGAAGAGGGATCCCTCCTCAGTTGCTCTTCCTGAGGTTTCTACCGTTTTTTTCCCCAGTTAAAGGGTTTTTTTTGGGGGAGTTTTTCCTTATCCGCTGCGAGGGTCATAAGTACAGAGGGATGTCATATGCTGTAAAGCCCTGTGAGGCAAATTGTGATTTGTGATATTGGGCTTTATAAATAAAATTGATTGATTGATTGATTTCCCTGCATGGGATCAATATTGTTTATCCAATATGACATACAAGGAGGCTGAGTCATAATGCTAATATAGACATGATAAAAATGCTTTAGTCGTTTTCTGTCCGACACGTACTGCTCAATGTACACACCAAAGGTTGGATTTTAGTCATAGAAATTAAAGCACCTGTGCCTTTGTGATTGACTTCAGTTGATGCTTTTTCTTCAAAATGTTTCAGGTTCCCTTGATTCTTCTTCCTCTTCCTCTTCTTCTTCTGCTTGTTTTCTTTGGAACACTTAATACAAAAGCATGGAACAGGTTTCCATATTTAATTTTCCTTTTTGTTATGGCCACCATGCAATTAAATAACAGCTGATACTGCCATTAAGTGAGAGAGCAGAGCACTGCTACAATCACATATCAGTTTGACACCATTTACTTTTACAGTGGAAGACATGTTGTGGGATTAAAGGGAAGGCGATATGAATTACATCCTCTATCATAGCACATTGGAGAAGGAACAATTAATATAGTTAGAGGCTGTTTGGGGGTCTTTTGATCATATCACCTGATCTGTATCAGCAGATGGGGATTGATGAGTCCTACAAGTGAAGAAAATATGTGTATTGATAATATCTGTATGAACTGACTGTGATTGCTTTGATTTTTGGAAGATTTTGAAATCATTAAAACTCACTGACCTCGTGTATTAGATGAGTTATAAGTGCAGCAGGAATGAATGGAAGCTTTATCACACTTTAGTAAATGAATACCCAGACTGTTGTCATTCCCATTGTCAAATACTGATGCTTTGAAATGCCCCTTTTCGTGTGATATCAATGCCAAAGGCACCCTTTACCTTCTTTATAAGATGCAGCTTGCTCTCAGGTAACTCTCATTTAAACTCATTGTGCTAATACTTGATGCTGAGAGAAACTAATGTAGTATGAAGAGCAAGAAAGTCCACTAGGGTAGAAGGCAGGGGAGGTGGATTAGTCAGTCATAAGGAGACTTTTTTTTTTAAGATATTTTTTTAGGGCATTTTAGGCTTTAATTGACAGGGCAGACAAGTGTGAAGGGGGGAGAGAGAGAGAGAGAGAGAGAGAGAGGGAGTGACATGCAGGAAATGGCCACAGGCTGGAGTTGAAACCGGGCCCCTGCGGCAACAGCCTTGTACATGGGGCGTCTGCTCTATCCACTAAGCCACCGACACCCCCATAAGGAGACTTTTACCCAGGAGACCACAGTCCGTGTCCTGTGTGTAACCAAAATGTTGTTGTTGTTTTTGTTTGTTTGTTTGTTTTTGTTTTTTGGCATTTAGTCTTTATTGGACAGGACACCTATTAGAGTGAAAGGGGGAGAGAGACGGGGGGATGACATGCAGCAAAGGGCCACAGGTTGGAATCAACCCTACAGCCACTGCGGCAAAGACATAGCCTTTGTACATGGGGTGCCTGCTCTACCAGGGGCCTGTATCACCAAGCGAGATCAACCTTTCCTGGGTTACCCAGACCTATCCTGGGTTGAATAACCCTAACAGTGGCAATCAGGATAATCGGTATCACGACGCTGGATATCAACTCGGTAACTCAACCCAGGGTTGCTTTATCAAGAGCCGTGAACGTGCACGCAGCGGACCAATCACAATCATGAGAGAAGCGCAGTGTCACTGAGCATCCTCACAGAGCGCCGTATGTGAGGAAAAAAAAAGTATTTCTCGTGAGGATCAGAGATTAATATGAGGAGGAGAAAAGCAACATAACAGAAAAGGCCAACACCGTGGCAGCTGCAGGAGGAGGAAACATGCGTGGCAACGCATAACGGGATGACTAATGTTTAGTTTTAGTTTAGATTAGATTATTTGCACATAATGTTAAAAACAGACAGTAAAAAATTTACAAGATTAAAAAAAGAAAAGTGCCGGAGAGGTTAGAAGCCACTAAAGGCTTATCAAAGAAATTCCCCTGTCAAAACATCAATGAAATCACATAATAGAGAAGAAAAAAAAAACGGGTAAGGAAAGAAGAAATAGAGGAGGAGAGAGGGAAAAATCAAGACAAAACAAGGTAGCAAATAAAATTATGTGTAGGTTAAATTACTCATCACTGGTTCAAGTAGCTACAGTACCTGTACCTATACATCTGACACTGATTGCACCCGTCTGATAAATTGGTCTTCTTTGTCATAACGTTATATATGCTACAATAAAGCTTAAAGCTGACGTCACAATTAAATCATATCAACACCAAACTGAATAAAATCATCCTGATATTGATGATATTGATATACCTAGTCTCCCTCTTTAAAAAACAAAAAGGAAAATCCCTCAAACACCATGAAGTGTAGACATGATAGGCTACTTTCCACATTTCCAGCAGCAAAGCTGTCAATTAGGCCCATTATCTTTAACAGGAATCATTTCCTCCAACAAAACAAAATGTTGGCACTAATTAATGGTGCTATTAAGTGTCCGCAAATTATCAGTTTCTTTCCTATGAAGGGGTGGGATGAAATTTCGACTTCTTTCCACTCCTTTTTGAACAATCTTTTCATTGTCTGTTGTTGTTGCTTTCTTTTCTTTTTTAATGTTCAAAATAAACTTTCAAATCAAAATCAATCAAATTAATTAAACTTCCCGTCATGACTGGGCTGCATTGGGCAGCGGAGTCATTTTTTTCCGAATAGCTGATTGGCCAGTGGGTGGTGCTTTTTATAAGATCAGATTCAACCCTGAACTTACCCTGCTCCGGAGCAGGATAGCTGTTCAGAGTTAGTTACCACAGTGATCTACCCCGATAAGAACTGAACCGGCTTTGTGAGACCAAAAACCCAGGGTTAACCCTAAAGTTACCTCCCTAAGACATTAATCCTGCTTCGTGATACAGGCCCCAGGTGAGGTAGTAGGCACCCCATCAAAATGTTGTTTTACTGTAACTTGTCTGATTTATGTGTAGTCGTCACACACTGACATTACTAATTTACATCACAGTGATATGTAACAAACTCACTTACTTTTACCTAAAACATAATCTTTTTCTAAACCTAACCAAGTAGTTTTGATGCCTAAACCTGACTGCGATCATTTCACAACATCAGCCACATGTTACAATGTGTTGAAGCTGTGTGTCGCATAAAGCTGCTAAAGGGTGCGCTGCGCGTTGCTGTTAGATGTTGAGGGGCATGACCAAGTGTCATTACTTGACGACCTGGGAACTGGAAGGAGTTGCAGCCTCATAGATGTTTAAGCAATTGTTTTTAATGTTAAAGGAGCAATAAGCAAAATTCATCATTTCTAGATTGAAGAAATTAAAAAATTGCTATGTGAAGAACTAGAGGTGTAATTTCATCTGGAGTATAGCATGACCTCACACACCCTCTCTCTGTGTTGATCTCCAGCCCATTGTTTACAAGCCGGTCCGGCTGCGCGTTCATGTACGTTCATGTGAATCCCCCCCCCCCCCCCCCCCCCTCCTCCTCTCAGAGCCCTTGGCCCTCCCTCCCTATAAAAGGCTACAGCCGGTGAGCAATGGCAGCGCATATTTTCGAAATGAAATGGCAGAGAGCACAACATCCACCTGAAGACAACCAGGATCTGACATTACCTCTAAAGAAACAACCGTTGTTGGCAAAGAAGTTGTCGGATAAAGAAAGGGACAGAACTCGGATTAACATTGGCCTTGCATTTCCAAGGTGGAGAGCACTGCAAGAGCTAAAGGGGATACAATCTGACTTGGGGCAAGCTCTTCTTCTCCTGGACAGGTACAAGATAAAGTCAAATGTCTGTTTTAATTAGTGTTACAGTAACGTTAGGCACACGTCGCTATGTAGATTCAATTAAATTTAGTGTTACAATCAAAGCATGGGTTAATGTCCGAAGCTTGAGTTATTTGCGGCTCAGTCCCAGCAATGGGTCAAGCGTTTCGGTTGTGTTAGGTGAGTAGCCTGGCAGCTCAGCTAACATTTGCAATTAGCATTGTAAAATGTAGCCCGG